TGTTCGAGCGATATGCCTGCGTTTCGGGGCCTCTTGGAGGCCTCATGCGGCCCTTTTAAACAATTTTGCTGCTTTCTTGGGCCGTCTGGGGGCGGCCCTGGGCCGTCTCGGCGCCCCGGTGGAAACCTGTCTGGACGATTTTTGGGCGTCCTGGACCGTCTTGGAACGTCTGGAAGCAGAACAGGCAGAAACGATAACATTTGCCAAGTACCAAAAGGACAACTAATTATTTTGGCTTCTTGGGGCCCTTCTGGGAGTGCTCTTGGGGGCCCCTTGGGCCGTGTTGGAAGCCTTTCGGGCCATCTGGAGGCCATCTTGGGCGTGTTCGAACAAAATTTCCGCGACTGCAGGCCTCTTAGAGGCCTCTCGCTAGAGAGCAGACAATCCACCCCCATACTAAGCACTTCGACAAGCGACGCTGTTTAGTAAACGCACCCATGGAAGGAATCGAACAGGGCAAGGCTGTTTAGTAAACGCCCAGGGCTGTTTAGTAAACGCGAATTGTCGGGGTCGAGGTGGTTTCTCCACCCTTGATGGAGGCCTCTCGCGGCCCTTTTCATCTGTTTTGGGGCTGTCTTGGGCCGTCTGGGGGCACCCCTGGCGGCCCGGTCCTCCCATGGCGTGTTGGAAGGGCCCCCTCCTGGCCCCTTTTGAAGTCGGAGTGTACTGACCATCTGCTTTCGTGCTTGAGCTGTTTCTCTTGGTGCCACCGCACGCACAAGTATGTTCACAACACCAGAGAGCACAATCCGGAGGACAGGACTTGATGGGCTTTTCGCTAGCTTGGGGCCCTCTCGCGGGAACGTCATATGTGGTCTCAGCTACTCGACATCAAGACACAAACGCAACATGATCCACATCGAGTAAGAACATGTTGGAGCTTCAGGCACGCAACGGGTGAGCACGGATCAAGTAAGCTTGGAAAACGATCAACTAGCACATGGGTTACGATGGGCTCCAAAGTATGGTCCTGCTTGGCCCCTCCTGCAGGCGCGTCTAGGATATTAGCAGGGCTCCAACATTATCCAGGAGTGCACGAGTAGTTGCAACGTTTTCAGCGCATTGGTGACCTCACGTATGCACACAGGCTTTGGGGCATTAAACTCACTACACGGCACGTGAGTTCGCAGGTCCGCACAGACGCAACTCAGCACTACACGGACATTGCCAGCGACACTTCTCAAGTGCCTGGTCAGTACACGATCATGCACAAGCCTTTGCTCGCACAGACGCGTTAGCAGGAAGCAGGAAATTATAAGTTCCTTTTGTTTTGCAAGGCTCCACCCTTTTTGCAAGGCGCCACGGCGCATTGCAGCGTGTGAGTATCGGCGGCGAGTGTTGCCATCAGAAGAGCAGCGAGCCTCTTACGCTTGACTGGACTCGTGGAGGACATGTGCACGCCACAAATATTGAGCCCAGTGCGCGGTGCACAAGCACATATAACCGCTTGTCTAGCAGAGTCCTCGCCGCTGCATCGTACTGAAGCCGTGGTGGACGCGATACTTCGCATATTAGCGATGCTGCTGAAACGGATACTTGTGCTGCTGGCGCCAACGTCGATTCGCGTTCCCCCTCCAGGGCCCGCTATATAATATTATAAGTTCCCTGAACCATTCTGCTTCGACCCAGGCGCGAGCCAAACGAGCTGCTGGTCTTGGCAGATGGCGCCCAGAGTACCCAGCCCCAAGAGGGAGGTCTCCCCACCAGGCCCCGTACTGAGTTCGAAGAGCAGGCTCTCATTTCGATATCTGTGGAGGAGGCTAGGGCTGTTTTGGCAGAGGCTGACTATGTCTTTTTCGCCCGAGGCGCTTCAGCAGTTTTGAGATTGAGGGGCGTCCGCCTGAGGAGGGAGGAGCACGACACCTGAGGAACATTATGGAACAGCCACACCCCGTGCACTCTGACGGGGCTACCTCGGGTGCGGTGGGAGGAGCAAAACAGAACAGGGACTGTCTTTGGTATAGCACCCCCCCTCTCGCTCTGCCGGGGCCGCCCTTGAGGGGTGGGAGGGGCAAAGCAACTTGTGAAATGATAGGGTATTGCGATGCCCCGCTCGCTCTGGCGGGGCCTGTCTGGCGCTCTGGCGGGGCCGTCCCGCGAGAGGAGGGAGGAACACGAAAGCTGAGGGCTGAGGGGAGGAAGAGGAGAGAGGAGGGAATGGAGGCAGGGGGAGGGGGGCGGGAGGGAAGGCCTGGGCCATCTGGGCCGTCTTGGAGCGCCCTGGAGCCTCCCGCTCCCGCTCTGTGACCCAGCTTGGGCCAGGCCTGTCCTGGGGCTCTCTTGGGCCATCTGGGGCTCCTCTTTAACAATGGTCAGGCTCCCTGAGACCGTCTTGGGGCTCTTTTGGGTGCCTCTTCGGCGGTCCTAGGGCGGTCTTGGGGGCGTCTTCTGCCGTCTTCTAGCATTGGAAGCTCGAGAACGCGAGAAAGCGAAACGCATCGAACAAACCACTGCAAATCAATGATTTGGGCCTCTTTGGGCTCTCTTGGGACGTCTCTCGGAGCTCTCGTGGGCCCTCTTGGAGGCCTCGTGGGCTGTATGTTTGCCGTCTTGAGCTCCTCTTGGGCCACGTTGGAATAATCTGGGCCGTCCTGGAACGCTCTGGGGCCTCCCGCTCCCGTTCTGGGGCCCATCTTGTGCCTCTCCTGGGATTATCTTGGGCAGTCTTGGGCTGCTCTTGGGCAATCTTCAGGCTCTCCGGTGCCGTCTTGGGGCTCTTTTGGAGCCTCTTCGGGCCGTCTTGGGTCTTGGGGCGATCTTCGGGGCGTCTTCGGCCGTCGGAAGCTCGAGAGCTCCTCTTGGTCCACGTTGGAATCATCTGGGCCGCCTTGGAGCGCCCTGGGGCCTCCCGCTCCCGCGCTGTGGCCCAGCTTGGGCCTGTCCTGGGGCTCTCTTGGGCCGTCTGAGGCTCCTCCCGGACAATTGTCGGGCTCCCTCGGGCCGTCTAGGGGCTCTGTTGGGGGCCTCTTCGGCGGTCTTGGGGCGGTCTTGGGGGTGTCGTCGGCCGTCGTGGAGCGTCGGAGCTCGAAAGCGCGAGACACCGAAAAACATTGAACAAACCAATGGAAATCAACGATTTGGGCATTTTCGGGCTCTCTCGGGACGCCTCTCGGAACTCTCTTGAGGTCTCTTGGAGGCCTCTTGGGCTGTGTACTTGCGGTCTGGAGCCCATCTTGGGCCACGTTGGGGCTATCTAAGCTGCCGTGGAGGGGCTGGTCGAAGGCCCCCGGGGGCTTCTGGGAGCGTCTTGGAGATGTCTGGGACACCCTGGGGAATCCACGGCCCCTCTGGGGTGCTGTGGTAGCGGTCTCGGAAGCCCCGGTCCCCCCATGCGCGCTCGGGGCCCTGGCCCCGGGCGCCCGGGCCTCTTGCGCGGGTGTGATATGTGTGTATACATATATGTATTAAAATACATACACGCGCGCTTCGCGCGCGCTTAGGTACCAGCGAGCTCCAGTTGTAGTCTAAAGTGTCCGGCATCGGAGGATATAGATTGTCACAAGGATCGCGCACTTCAGTGAATTCCACCTGAGCCCCTGAGACAGGCTTGGCTGAGGCCCCGCCCGCGCCGGCACACCCCTCGCAGGCGTCGCGTCCCACAGGGAGATCCACTTAATTACGTCACCAGAGATGATGTTCGCACAGTGGCACACCCCTCAAGCGGACCGTGACCCGCAAGTAAATGAATTTGCGGCACCAGAGAGGAGCTTGATAACATCGCCCCGCTCACTTCGGCACACTTGTCACACGTGTCGGGGCCCGCATGGACATCCACGGACGGCACCAAAGACAAGGTTCGCATCCCGCCATCCCGCCTACTTCGACACACCTCGCACACGGATCGTGATCATGGACCATAGGGATCTCCACCCACGGCCCCAGAGACAGGGTTCGCACCCGCACACTCCATCACGTGGATCGTGCCCACAAGGACCACCTCAAGGCCCGGTTCGTACAACGCCCCCCCCCGCCCATGTTGGCACACCTGTCACGCGAATCATGCCCCAGAATAAGCATATTTGCATGGCGTCCCCGCGCCAATTTCGGAACATGCCTGGCACGGGGCGTGCCCAAAGGAGGTCCACCTGCGGCCTCAAGCGTGTTCGCGCGGCCCTTCACGCGGATCGTGCCCCACAAGGAGTTTAGCGCACCCGTGCACGCGTGCCCCGCGGAAGCCATCTTTCTGCATTGCCCCGGCCTTTTTGGCTGTCTTAGAGCGTTCCTGGCCTGTCGGACGCTACTGGAAATCGTCTTTGAGGCCTGTCTTCGCCGTCTTCGAGCCCGCTTGGAGCGCTTCGGGGCTGTCTTGGAGGCAATCTCAAGCGTCTTGAGTCCTCTTGGGCCGTCTTTGCCGACCACTTGACCTCCGAGAAACATAAACACGACCGCTGTGGCGGAACCGCTGCGAAGGGTGCCAGGCTCCACCGCTTTGGGTATCCATGAAATCCGCGGACCCCTTGTGGGTCTCCAGGCGTGCGAGATTCGATTCCCCCCCCATCATCCTCCCCCCCGGGACCCCAAACGGACGCTTCAGGACGCTTCACAAAGCCTCCCGGGAGCCTCCCAAGATGGCCCCGAACACCAAAAATCCTCCAATTCCTGTGGGGAAACAATATGCACGACTCTTCGGCCTCCGCGGCTTTGAGAACGGCGCCTTCGGCGCCCAAGACCGACCCGAGAGGCCCACAGGAAAGGCAGCAGACGGCCCGGCAGGGCCCCAAGACGGCCCCAGAGGCGCCAAGGACAGCCCATGAGAGCCCGAAGACGGCCCTGAGAAGGGCCCAGGAGCGGAAGCCAAGACAGACAATTCAAATTCACCGCCACAAGATGCACCCGCGAGCCCTCCAGACGCCCCTACAAGCCCCCAACAGGCCCCCAAGAGGCCCCAAAGAAGCGCCACAAGGGCCCAGAACGCGCCCGACGAGGCTTCACAACTGCTTTCACGATGCCCCCGACACGAAACAGTTTTCGGAAAGTGGTGGGGAAAAGAGCCCCATGAAGCGGTCCTCGGGAAGAGGTCGGGAAGAGAGCCGCAAAGGTCAGCTGAAGGCCCAGAGCCCAGACCCACAATCCAGACACGGTGGCGGGGCAGCCCGAAAGGCATCCGATGTTTCACGGCATGGGAGGCATTGAGCACTTCCCTTGGGCCTGCCAGGCCTGCTGATCGACAAGGTCGAGCCGCCGAAGCACACAAGACTGCAGCTGCGCCTGCCGAGCCCCCAAGGAGTGCCGCGATTCTACATAAGCGGCAAGTCTCTACTGCAGCAGCGGCCGATCTTTGCGCGCGTGGCCATGCGGCAGATCACTGGCCTTCACTATCGCAATCGACATCCTCCAGTGTCTGTGACTCGGTCATCGAGCCCCAGACTCGAAGGTGAGGCTCCCTCTGAGACGTGACCCTGACACCCCACTGGGCACTCAGAGCGCGGACCATCCAGTCTTGGTTAAGCCTGATGCGCTTGATGTCGAGGAGGGCGCGCTGCATATCCAAATTGCGGGCGTTACCTCGTACAAGGAAGCATCCATGAATCAGCGAATCCACGCTGATTGATCCCTTCTTGTCTGCACCAACGAACACCACAAACTCTCTGAGCTCCTTCACGCTGACACCAATGGAGTGTAAGTAGGCATGCAGATGGCTGCCAACTACCATGTCGAAGAACTCATCCACATCGAGGCGCCCATGACCAACCGTATCAAAGCTTTCGAGAAACCTGCGGAGCTCATTCGTCATCGCAAGTTCTTCTCGGTGCTTCTCCATTGCCAATTGCTCTTTTGTCGGCTGAGCCTGAGCCAAGGCATTCTCGACGAAAATACCAGTCAGAATGTTGAGCAAACTGACATGGCAGAATCCGACGAACAGCAAAAATAGCGACGCGTACACGGTCCCAGCAGGTGCGATGGCCTGGTACACCTCGCCCCAGTCCCTTCCTCCACTGATAGCTGAATAAAGACTGATGATCGAATCTTCAATGGAGCCGAAGTTTTCGACGAGCTTCAACACTTTTCCGTCATCTTCGTCGGGGCTCGCCAACAAATACATTGAAGCGCCCTGCACGAAAACAAGAGAGAACATGAAAATGATTAACACCATCATAACCATACTCCAAAACAATGAGAAGATAGATCCGATCATACAATCCCAAATGAGGCGCAATTCCTTCAAGAAATGGATGAGCCGGAAGACACGGAGCACCCGGATGATCTTCAGAGCTCTGAGAACGCGCCCGACGGTGAATTGCCCGGAGCTCCGACTTGCCAGTACTGCCTGCACGGCGTCAATGGAAACGATCAGGAAATCTAACAAATTCCAACCAGCGTCATCGTTGCAGAAGAAGAAATACTTATGCACTGCAATTGCTAGGGCGAGCTCTAGACAATATATAATCAGGAAAGCCTTCTCGACTTCATACGCCCAGTCATCGGCATTGCCCAAGTTCTTCGCCTGATGATCGACAAACCAAGTCATCCAGCATGCATTTGCGAAGATAACAAATCCGAACACTGCACGTCCCCGCCTCTCCAGGTTAGCAAGAAGGCCTGTGCGTTCTGGCTCCTTGAGATTCATCCACGCCTCGTAACACCAGGTCATACGATCTCTTGCCGTTGAGCCCGATGTGTGGCTTTGCTTGTAGGGGTCGACCATGGGCACGTCGTAGAAGCTGGGCTTGGCCATCCCCAACTTCTCCGTGCCCGGCGGCGGCGGGGGGAAGGGCACCGGCGGCGATCCGGGAGAGACGGGCGTGACGTCGCCGCTGGGACACGCCATCGCCTGCTCCTCCGTCGGAAACGAGGTCGGGCCGCGGGAAAACCGCTTACCAGGCTGCACCTTAGACGAGGCAGCGAAAGGCTGCACAACCGCCTCCTCATCGGTGTTGCCCTCGGCCGTGCAGGCTCCCGTCGGCGGCTCCGCAGACTGCGTCTCCATGAAGGAGCCGCAGGAGCTCCTCGTGCTCGGTCGATCTGCTGGCGATCTGCTGGCGATCTGGTGGGGCGAGATCATGGCCTGGCGAATGCCAACCGCACCGCCGCCGTCACCCTCAGCGCCGGCCGCTGCCCGCTCCTCGTGCGGCGCCGTGCTGGCGGCGGAGGTCCGCCGGCGGGAGGGCGGCCTGAAGCCCGAGACCTCGGAGCTCACCTGGGTCACTCTCTGGAGGAGCTCGCCGTGGCGCTCGCCCGCGGCCGCCGCCAGCGACCGCCGCTCCTCCGAGGCCTCCGACATCATGTTCCCCACCTGCTCCATGTAGTCGTCCAAGCGCATGAAGAGCTCGTACCACAGGTCGCGGGCGACCCCCGCGGCCGGGTCGAGCGGCGCCCCACTGCCGAACATGCCTCTGGGCGAACTCAAGCGGCGGGCCTCCAGTGGCGGCACGTCCACGGGCGGGCACAGGTCGCGGGCGACACGCGCGGCCGGGTCGAGCGGCGCCCCACTGTCGAACATGCCTCTGGGCGAGCTCAAGCGGCGGGCCTCCAGTGGCGGCACGTCCACGGGCGGGCACAGGTCGCGGGCGACACGCGCGGCCGGGTCGGGCGGCGCCCCACTGTCGGAGCTGAGGCGGCGGGCCGCCTGTGGCGGCACGTCCACGGGCGGGTGGCCTCGGGGCGCCCCCGGCGGTGTGGCCATGCCTTGCGGGAGAGGCCCCGACGGGGCAGCCCTCGTCGACGGGGGGCGCCAGGCAGTGCTCAGGGGGGTCACCTGAACCTTCGTGAGCTAAAAGGCAACGGATCAAACTCAAACGACAGCTCGATTCCCAAATAAATCCGCCGACCCCTTGTGCGTGTATAGGCGTGTGCGATTGTTCCCCCCTCATAATCCCCCCCCCTCAGGGACCCCAAACTGGGAATATGACCCCCCCGACCGCAGATGACCGCCGGGTGAACGCATCATAGGGGCGCAGAGGGCCCCGCCAAAGGCCAAAAAGGCCTCCAGAGGCCCCCAAGACGGTCCACGAAGGCCCAGAATCGTCAAACAATCATTTGAAGACGCCCGCGGTGACATCAAAACGGCCCAAGATGCTTCCAAAACGCCCCAAATGGCCTCCAAGAAGCCCCCCGAGAGGCCCCGACGAAACAACAGTTGCCACATTCCCGTCGGAAACCGTATGTTTATAACATGCTGGCCTTTTGTTTTTCCCAACCATCCTGTGGTGTTGGGTCCTCGTTTTGAAGAGACGGTCCCCGCGTTCCTCTCCTGTTCTCCTCCTCTTCTCCCTCATCCTCCCTCCTCCATCTTCCATTGTTTTCACCCACCCAGCACAGGGCTTCGTGGCCCAATAGGGAGCTCCACCACAACCCCCCATGGGACCGCCCGCGTGCGTCCGCCACCACCCAGCACAGCCCTTGCTCCCTGCGTTCCACCCACCCAGTACAACGTTTCGTGGCCTCATATGGGGGCTCCACCGAAAGTCCCATTGGCACCGCCCGCATGCGTCCGCCACCACCCAGCACAGCCCTTGCTCCCTGCGTTTCACCCACCTAGTACAGCGCTTCGTGGTCCCATAAGGGAGCTCCACCGAAGGTCCCCGTGGCACCGCCCGCATGCGTCCGCCACCACCCAACACAGCCTTTGCTCCCTGCGTTTCACCCACCCAGTACAGCGCTTCGTGGTCCCATAGGGAACTCCACCGAAGGTCCCAGTGGCACCGCCCGCATGCGTCCGCCACCACCCAGCACAGCCCTTGCTCCCTGCGTTTCGCCCACCCAGTACAGCGTTTCGTGGTCCCATAAGGGAGCTCCACCGAAGGTCCCAGTGGCACCGCCCGCATGCGTCCGCCACCACCCAGCACAGCCCTTGCTCCCTGCGCTTCGCCCACCCATTACAACGCTTCGTGGCCCCATCGGGAGCTCCACCGAAGGTCCCAGTGGCACCGCCCTTCACCCACCCAGTACAACGTTTCGTGGCCCCATAAAGGAGGCTCCACCGAAAATCCCAGTGGCAACACCCGCGTGCGTCCGCCACCACCCAGCACAGCCCTTGCTCCTTGCGATTCACCCACCCAGTATAGCGCTTCGTGGCCCCATAAGGGAGCTCCGCCGAAGGTCCCAGTGGCACCGCCCGCATGCGTCCGCCACCACCCAGCACAACCCTTGCTCCCTGCGCTTCGCCTACCCAGTGCAGCGTTCCGTGGCCCCATAGGGGGCTCCACCGAAGGTCCCACTGGCACCGCCCGCATGCGTCCGCCACCACCCAGCACGGCCCTGGTTCCCTGCGTTTCACTCACCCAGTACAACGCTTCGTGGCCCCATCGGGGGCTCCACCGAAGGTCCCACTGGCACCGCCCGCATGCGTCCGCCACCACTCAGCACAGCCCTTGCCCCCTGCGTTTCACCCACCTAGTACAGCGCTTCGTGGCCCCATAAGGGAGCTCCACCGAAGGTCCCAGTGGCACCGCCCGCATGCGTCCGCCACCACCCAACACGGCCTTTGCTCCCTGCGTTTCACCCACCCAGTACAGCGCTTCGTGACCCCATCGGGAGCGCCACCGAAGAAGATATTGGCCAAGATATTCACACTTGCGGTACTCACACTTGCATGTGGTTGGGTCTTTCGCCAAGCTAATTTGCCGCAGCGTGCAAACCGGCCAAAAAACTCCCCACGAGAGCTCCACAACGGCCCACAAGGGCCCCGAGACGGCCAAACAAAACAACAACACTGCCCATGAAGGCCCCAGGAAAGGCGCCAAGATAGGGCCCAGAGGGGAAACCCGAACAGACATTTCCAGCTTTCGGCTCCAGGACGCCTCCAGGTTGCCCCAAGAAGCCCCCAGGGAACCCAGAGAAAACTTCAGAACGCCCCCAAGAGTCTCCCGGGACGCAGCCGCGAAACCCAACATCAGCCTCCAAGGCGCTCCTGAAAGACCTCCGACGAAACCCGATCAACCACCCCACTCAACCTCACACTCACATGCCACGCTCGGCGGGGGGACGCACCGCACGCCATTCGATAATCATGCGCGCACGGCGAACACTGCGAACGTCAGCCCCGGAAAATACAACGATCCCAGCGAGCATCCCGCGGGTCTCTCACACTGCTTTGGTTTCCCGAAAACGTTCCGACGAGACGCCGCGACGCACCCCTGAAACTGTGACGCAAAACCAAAAACCCTGCACAGGGTCTCGGAGTCCTGGGTGCACACACGCGCAGCGGCAGTTCTGGGATCGCCCCGACGGCCCCCGGAAACCCTAGCTGAGGCCCCGAGACAAGATCCAGACTCTTTTTCTTAGAATTCCCTCCTGTTCCTCCTCCTCCTCCTCCTCCTCCTTCTCCTCGTCCTCTTCCTCTTCTTCTTCCTCCTCCTCCTCCTCCTCCTCCTCCTCCCCCTCCGCCCCCTCCTCCTCCACCCTCTCCCCCTTCCTCCTTCTGCGCTTCCTCCTTCTCGGCATCCTCCTCGTAGTCGTCTTCGCTCTCCTCCGCGTTCTCCCATCTTCTGATTTTAATTCCACGGACCACGGCACGGGCACCCGAATCGGCATCAGTTGCGCGCCTTGCACTTCAGGGTGCCATTCTTCACGTCGCGCGCGACACTGTCTGGCCTCACGGAAAACGCCGAATTCGGAAGCGGTCTCTTGCACATGCCGATGCACTGATACGCCTGCCACCTGCGCGCCGCGAAACGAAGGTCCTTGCAAACCGCGCACACTACTTTCACTCTCCTCGTCAGATGTTCCGTCTCATGCGCGCTACTGATGTGGCCCTGCCGCGGAAACTTGAGGTTGCGCGCCGCGCGCGTCAAATCTCGCCCCACCGCTACGCCGCAACGGCTACTACCTTCGCGGGTCTGCCGCGCTTGCTACAGTCTACGCATAGGTCCTTTTCGCCGTCCGATGATCCTGCGCCTGGTTCTGATTCGGATGACCCGTCTCAAAAAATACGCCGCAACCTGGCGCACAGCACGTCAGCGGCTTCGTTTCCGCATCAGCTTTCCGTTTGAAGTTGTGTGCCTCTCGCGTCAACTTGTCCGCCTCCTCCGCGCATTTCCAGCACAACCTCTCCCCTGCTGCGTTTTTTTGTTTGTTGTTTGATCCTGTGGTTCCGATATATCCGCCTTCTCTTCGAAAAGCGACAGACACGTCTCGTACGACCACACCTCAGAACATCTAAGTTGCATCCGCAAAGCACATCAAAGACGTCACGGACGCACCGAAAACAAAAAAAATGGAAACGAACTACAATGGCGGGGTCTGCTGATATGGCGTACAGTAGGAGCTCGACCACATGATACCTTCCACAAAAAAACCCAACCCTGAGACCCCAGGACTTCCATCGATTTCTGGTGTGGGGGCGTCACGGTTTCCATTGCAAAACCATCGAAAGCCACGAAACCCAGGGTACCTTGGAGGCAAGCGGGATGTTTCTTGGGATGGGTCTCCACTGTGGTATCCCGTCCAGAGAAACAGCGATCGGGAACCAGGGGCCTGGCCTACCCTTGCCGATGCGAGCGAGCGGAGGAAGAAGCAAAGCGAGCCCCATCAGACACGCGCGCATCCCGTCCCCGAAAGGCGCTGGCGTGGTAGGCGTCCTTTTGGGCTCTCTGTTCGGGCTATCCTGAAGGCCCCCGGGGCCGTCCTGGGCTGCCAGGGGCCCGAAGACGAGATAATGCCAGAATGCATCCAAGCACTCGAAGAAAATCTGCGAGGGGGCATCTGGGGACGGCTCGGGGACCTCTCGGCGGCCTCGGGGGGGGGCTCCTGGGGTCGTATTGGACGCGTGCGAGCATGCCGCCCAGCAGCAACGTGATAGAGCCAAAAACAATTTCGGCGGCACGAGCAGGCCTCTTCTCTCAGCAACAACATTCTCGACCACACGCGCGCTTCGCGCGCGCTTTGGCTCTAGCGAGGCCCAGCCGTTTCGTCACTCGTATTTCTTATCCCCCCCTTCCCAGGGCACTAACCCGAAGGCACCAACCGCCAGCGACGGTGAATCGCAGCAGGCAGAGCACGCGGGACCTGGGAGCGTCGACGGCGAAAAAGGCGTATGACGCCTGGGCTCGCATCCGAAGGATGGATGCGATGGGCCCGAGTCCGAATCGATGTTCCCGGAAGCCTCTGGGATTATCGTGTAGGACGTGTCTATGAGGCCCATGTGACGCTCGAAGGGGTCTTGAGGGAGGCCTCCAGCTCAGAATCGATGTCCCCAGAAACCGCTGTGGGACCATCCTTTAAGGTGTAGACGCGTGGCCTCTGAGAGGGTTGCGGGGGCCTCTTGGAAGCCTCAGGAGCCTTCAGCTCGTGCCGGGGTGGTGTGTCAGAGACTTATTGGACACCTGTTTGGGTCTCTTGGCGCGCTGCTCTGGCGCCTCTTGGTGGAGCGAGTTTTCAAGCCCCTCTTGAGGTTTCTAGGGGCCCCCCTGGGGCCCTCTTCTGGGCCTCTTGGGGGCCTCTCGGGAAGCCGCTCCGGGAAGATCGTTCAGGGTGTAGACGCGTGGCCTCGACAGGGTTCTCGGGGCCTCTTGGGAAGTCCCCGAAAAAATCGGTTCGAACCGCCCAGGGCCTCGGCTCTTGGGCACCTGTAGGGTCTCGTGGCGCGCGTCTCGGGCCCCTCATGGAGCCAGTTTTGAAGCCTCTTGGGGCCTCTTGGGGGCTGTTTGGGGGCCACGTGGGGCCTCCTTTGGGCGCCTTGGGGACCTTTCAGGGTTCTCGTCTGGGGTGCTCTTGGGGCGTCTTTTTGTGCCTTTTGGGGGGCCTCGTGCGGCCTCTAGGGGGCCTCTTGGGCT